CCGCCAGGCCGCGGGCGGGCACCTGCTGTTATACTGGCCGGCCCAGGAAAGAGCAAAGGCCGCTGGCCCAGGAGCCAATCAGGGCTGGAGCTCCGGAGGCTGAGTGGAACCACCGGGGGCCTGGCAAAGAACGTCCTGCACAAGGAGCTCCGACCGGCACTGCTCCTGGGGGAGGGGAAAGCCAGCCCCTGGGCTCTGAGCTGCTCCTGGGCACCTGCGGGGTGGTGGTGGATGGGGCAGTGGCCCCTAGGGGACCTCCACATTGCTGTGGGGTCTAGAGCTGAGGCCCAGTTGGAGGAGGAGACGGATACCTAGGGTGCTGGTGCAGGCACACACTGGGCGAGGACCCCGGTCCAGGTACTTAGGAGGCCACAAGTAGGGCGGCTGATGCCATGCACGGGCACCCTGGTCCTCTCCCTGGTCTGGATGGGGCCACCCTGAGGAGCCTGGTGGGGGAGGGACGGGCAGTGGCCCTTGGAGGAATGGGCAGGAGGGCAGCTGGGCAGTGTCCCAGCACTGTGGGACATCTGCCCGGGTGGCCCTGCAAGCCTGGCCTGGGAGGCATGGGGTCAAGGCTGTGCTAGGAGGGGACCTGGCCATGGTACACAGGGCCACAGAGTGGACACAGGTGTCAGGAGGCCTGGCTAGGACAGAGGGCACAGGCAAGGGGCCATCCCCAGACTGGACAGATGGCCGATTCGGGGAGGGCGTCACCAGGGTCTCATGCTGAGGGGGACATCACATGAGGGGCAGGGTGTGGCCTTCTTGTTCTCCTGCCATCCCCAAGGCCCAGGTCCCTCCAAGAGTCTTCACAGACCTCAGGGGTGTCTGGGAACCAGACAGGAGGGGTGTCAGCCTGCAGAGCAGGTGCTGGGGAGTTGGGGAGCTGTGGGGGGACCTGGTGTCACCTCAGAGCACAGGCGAGCGCAGTTATCAGGAAAGGGGGATGGTACATGCCTATAATCTCAGCACTCCAGAGGCTGAGGCAGAAGGCCTCTGCTGGCCTCCCCGTCTCCTCCCTCATGTACCTGCCACAGAAACCTTACAGAAGGAAGTCGGTGGTCCACAGACCTGGTCCTGCCTGTTCTGTGTGGGCCTCCTTGCACCAAAGCGAGCTCATTAACTTCCCTGGGCTCGGGAAGTCACACATAATGGCGCTCGGGTGCCAGGGACCTGGTGTGTGGCTTTGGGACGACCAGGGCTGTGGCTCATCACGGCCGAGCATCCCCTTGTGTGACATCAGCTTGCTCTTTTCCTTTTCAGTCTTGGTGTTTATCAGTCCCTGTTTGCAGCCGTAATGGTTCCATCCCTTGTGGGGAGTTGGGTTCACAAATACAATGCACCGTCGTTCTCCCGACCGCCCCTTCCCTGGCTGATTTCGTGCTGTGAATCGTCTGATATGTTTTGTTATGTGTTCGTGACACTTTCCTTCTACATCAAGGTTTTATTACTTAAAGTCCTTTTGGGGGGCCGTATTGGTGACGGAACCCAGGGCGCTCTTCGCCACTGAGCTGCACCCCAGCCCTCTTTACTTTTTATTTTGAGACAGGGCCTCACAGAGTTAGTTGCCCAGGCTGGACTCGAACCTGTGATCTTCCTGCTTCAGTCTGCCAAAAAGCCGTGTGCCCTCGTGCCTGGCCAGCTAGGTCTTTTAATGGACTAATTGACTTTCTTTGTGTGTGATGTAAATGACTTTTTTAAATCTTGCTTTGTTTGCTACTTATTTTAACTTAAAGTTTCTCATCCTTTTTCTTATAGTTGCTGGTTTGATAGGTGATGTTGGGTTTGATAGGTGATGTTGGATTCCTTTTTAAAACCCCTTATTACTGTGGAAATTCTGCACATTTCCACCCCAGTAACAGTTACCTCTTCTTTGTCTATACTCACAATTAAAGCATTTACGTGACATTCACTATTTTACAACACAGAGCCCATGAAAATCCTCACACCTGGACTTTGATGCCCCCCCTCGCAGCCCCTTCCTGATGCTGCGCCCTGCAGCCCGGGACTTTCTCCCCCTGGGGGACTCTCAGGCAGCAGTAACCAGTAAAGGGGAATTAAAAACTGCCCAGCACCATCAGTCTGCACCCTGCTTTTTAAAAGCCCCAGGCCTTCCAGGTGCACCTGAGCCACTGCCTGGGCCTGACCGTTGTGTGCAGGCATCGCCCAGCCTCTCACCAGGGGCCGCCGCAGGCCCTGTAGACTTGCGGACTTTCCCACACCCCGTGGGGGTTTCCACTGCGGGGCTGCTGGGTGGGGTTGAGGTTGGGGTCCTGGTGCAGTCGGCCATGGGCTTCATCTGTGTGTGGTGTTCAGTGCAGGGTGCAGGGCCCAGACTGGAGAGAGAGCAAAGGAGGTCTGGGCCTTCTGAGAGAGGGGGCAGGGAAGAAGGGGCAGAACGGAAGCCACCCAGCGTCCCCCCGAGGGCAGGGTGGAGGCCGGACACGCTTCTGCCCTGGGACAGCAGGGACTCAAGGGGCACCCCGACCACACTGTTAAGACCGCCTGGAGTTCCACACTGTGTGTGCATCAGTGTTCCAGTCACACTAGGAAAGCAACACTGAGGAGAGATGGAGTTGGCAGAAAACATGTATATGCACTTCAGGAAAAGAAAAGCCTGCGTGAATATTTTAATACTAAATCACTGAGACCTCATGAGGTAAAGACAAGTTACCTCTGGCCTCCACAATGACAAGAGGTGCTCGAAGTGGCCCAGTGTGGTGGGGTACACCTGTGATCCCCGCACTCAAGGTGGAGGCAGGAGGATCTGTGCGTTTGAGGCCAGCCTAGGCTACATCGAGAGATGCTGTCTGAAACACGCACACACGCACACACACACACATGCGTGCAGGTGCTCAACGTGGCGGCCTGAGCTTCTGACCCTCCTTAGCACAAGAGCTGCTGCTTGGGTGACCTCGGTCTCTGACTTTGCTGCAAGGGCTGGCAGTGCAGTTTTCCGTGATATAAGACGCCCTCTAACGCTCCCCATTCGAGGGTAACACCACCTGTTGAAAACACATCATGCTATTTTCCTTTCTTGAAGTGGGTATAGTTTTGTTTTTTGTTTTTTGCTTTTGTTTTTTTTTGCATAGGTCCACAATACCAGTCAAAATATCAAGCAAACAAGAACAAAGTTAAAAGGAAATCTGCAGCAGTTCTACAGAGAGAGCAGTGAGACCCGGAGCTGACCCTGCAGGCCAGTAGCAGGCCGCCAGTCCACAGCCAGGTGCAGAACCTGAGGAAGCTCCCAACAGCCCCCAAACTTTAAAGGGAAACTTCTGCTAAATCCGGGATTTCCAGATGTGAGAAGGTTTCTGGGCGTGATAGAGTTAGAAAATCACATCCTGTAAATGCCATTCAATGAAAAAAAATGACAGAAAAGTCCTCTGGAAGTGACTTTGAAATGGAGTTCATAAGACTGAGGTAGGAGAGAAGAAATAAATAAAAACAAGGAAGTCATAACTAAAAATTGTACTTTTTTTGTTTTTGTTTTGTTTTTCTGAGACAGTCTCACTGCAGTTCAGGCTGGCCTTGAACTCACCATGAAGCCCTACTGGCCTTAGACTCTTGGTGATCCTCCTGCCTCAGCCTCCTGCGTGCTGGGATTACAGGTGTGCACCATCGTGTCAGGCAAAATTGTGCTTTTAAGAAGAATGGAAGTCACACAAGCCCACATCAGGATTCCTTGGTCAAATTGAGGCTCCTTTCCTGCCATCACAACAGCCTCCACCCTGCCCTCAGGGGGACGCTGGGGTACCTGGGGGACTCCCATACCCCACCCCATCCTGTCCCATAAGGGCAGGGCTCCCATGCCTACCCAGACACAGCCATGACCTCCATTGCAGGACGGGAGCTGGGGGCACTGGGCCCGCAGGGGAGGACAAGGACACTGTGCACCAGAACCCAAACCCTCTTAGAAGACCCAGCCTCAACCCCAGAGGGTCTCACCATGGCAGCCCCAGCTCACCCGGAAAACACATGCAGTCCATCAGTCGGCTCTAAGGAGAAAGCAAAGAGCAGGAACCTGATCCTCATGAGAAGGAGGGGTTGAGGGGACCCAGGACAACCCCTCTGTTCGTGGGCAGGAGCGAACAGACCCAGCACAAGCCTGGAGGGTGGGTGGGCGGCAGGTGGGCGTTACATTCCCACGGGCACAGCCCTCCTGAGCCTCAGCTGGAGGACACTGGAGGGCAGCTGCCCCCGCTCAGGGCTGAAGGGAAGAAGGTCCGGGTGGGGTGAGAGACCTGAAGGAGGCCTTGTTGGTGTTGTCACCCGTTCGTGTGCATTTTATTCTGTTTATGTATTTAGTGAAACCTTGGTTTGTGAGCATAACTTGTTCCCAAAACTTGCTTGTACAGCGGGCCCTTGACTTACAAACTCTGTTTGTTCCCCAAGGACTGGTTGTAACTCAAGCTGGTCAGTTAAGGCTGAGGCTCCTTGCACAGCCTTTGAAATCTCTCTCCTGCACACAGAAGATCTCAGTGTCCTCAGGGAGACGCCCTCCCGGGACTTCTCAGTGAGCCCACACAGGAGAGGATGCGGTCCTGCTCCTTCCAGAGCTCTGAGGGTTACATCTGTTCTGAGACCATCTGGAAGCACAAGTGGCTGGAATTTGAGTCATGACTCAAGACTTTGGTCATAAGTTAAAATTAAAATTCCAGCCACATCCCAGGTTCTTTGTATGCCAGACTGGTCATAACTCCAGGGTCCAATGTAATCCAAAGCACTTGTATACCAAAGCGAATGTCCCCATAAGAAATAACGGAAACTCAAAATATTCTGATGACTATGATTAGAAAGCCAGGTGTGATGACACAGGTCTGTAATCCTAGCACTTGGGAGGCTGAGGCAGGAGGATTGCTTCGAGCTCAAGGCCAGCCTGGGCTACACAGTGAGACCCTGTCTCTCTCCCCAGTGACCACAATGCTGTAATATAAAGGAAAATAAACTTTGAAAACCTTCCTGGCTGGGGTGGGGGAGAGGAGAGGAGAGGGTTACTGTGCAGGACAGCTTTCGCCGTCACTAATGGAGTCGCAGCTACCTACTGGCTCAGTGGAAACGTGACGTTGCACAGTCATTAAACAGATTCACCGCTCACACCGCCGCTGCCCTGTTCGGGTGGTGCTGTCCACACGATCGTGCACTGGCTTCCCACATTTCACGCCCTAATCTCCTCCACCTCCTCTGGACACGAGCGCTCCCCCGTAACATCTCCTTATCAGACACAGTCCCACAGCAGGGGGGCACTGGCTCCGGCCGTGGTCACACTCGTCACGCGTACTACTCTGTGCAAGACGTCACTCGTTTATCAAGTTAGGAGTTATTAGAGATGTGGCCCAGACTGGCCTCAAACTGGTGGCCATCCTCCAGCCTCAGCCTCCAGAGTGCTGGACGACAGGCCTGAGCCACCACGCCCCGCGTGTTGAAGAGGCGGCCGCTTTGTGTTCCATTCCTAGGAGACCGTTCTTAAAGCCCCTGGGGTGTGGGACGGGGAAGCCCTCTCCGCTGCCCGTGCGCCGCCCGGAGGGGTGAAAGGCCGGAGGGCCGGGGTTAGACGCCCTCCGTGGAGGAGGCCTCCGGCCACAGCCTTTGCAGGGACACGTGTGTGGTCTGCTGCCCTTCATGCGGTGGAAATTCACGTTCCTTTTATGTTTTGGAAATACAGAGACAGAGTTTACTCGAAAGAGTGAAGGTGAAGAGGGAGGGCGAGGCTGGCCCGGTGAGAACCGGGACAGAACTGAGGAAAAGAGGGAAAGCAGACAAGGGAACCCCCTGGAGGACGCGGGCGGCGGCGTGAGGAAGCCACACGCGCGCC